GGCCCTCCTGCCCCACCCGGGCAGCCCCCCAGCTGCTCTGCCCCAGGTATCCCCAAGTCAGCTGCTGCTGATACTGATCAGCAGCTGACTCCAGGAAACCCGAGGCAGAGCTGCTCTGCCCTGGGCTTCCTGGAGTCAGCCGCTGGTCAGTTTCAGCAGCAGCTGAATCGGGGAAGCTGGGGGCAGAGGAGCTCCAATGGTCCGGCTACCCAGAGCATTTCCGGGATCCTGATGGTGCCAGACCATCAGGAGTGCCGGACCTTGGGAGTTTTACTGTATTAATAAAGTAACATACACATACAGTAAGGACACATGAAATGAGGTGCCTGCTAATTGCACACAGCACTGACTGTGAGAGTTGTGCATGCCCTCTACAGCCAATTTAAGCACTGCTATGGTTCAATTAGTATTCTTAGCACTAAAGATGTTAATTAAACAAAATTTTACAATGAAAACATTAAATTTAACCAATTAACCAATTAAATGGGGGGATGGATTGGAGTGGCCTTCCGCCTGTGAGCAGGGGCTGTTCCAGCTGCCCTCTGCAGTTGTGGGCTGTTTCAGCTTCTGCCGGTTAACCATAACTGGTAAGTATCACCTGTTAAGGTTAACTGTTCACATCCCAATTTAACACGAGGTTGTGGTGAAATAAAAAATGAGATGGCAGTTATGTACAATGAAGCATTTTAGCTCACAGGAAACTAAAAGTACAAAATCAGTTCAGTTCTTTCAAGTCAGTTTTCTAACGACTCCTTGCAGGAGTGCCTTGATAATCTTAAGTACGTTAACTAGCCAAAAAAGAAGCAGTCTTCTGGAGTCTAGTGGGATACAGCATATAGAGAAGTTTGCACTGCCATAGATCTTTCAATAAGTCACCACAGTACAGGCAGTCCCCGACTTACGCGGATCCGACTTACGAACGGAGCTTTCTCGCCCCGGAAGTCGGGGCGAGAAAGCCCCGTTCGTAAGCTGCTCCGGTGCCCCTGGTCTGCTGGAGACCGTCTCCAGCAGACCAGGGGCACCGGGC